TGAGTAAGCAACCGAGGTTGCTTCTCTCTGCAAGGCCAAGGTTTTTTTTTTTTCCCACAAAAGCATCCAGCACAAGTTGGGCAACCAGAAGATGCCCAGGGGTCATTTTAATTGTTTGGCTCTTTTATTAAAGGTTTTTTTTTTTTTAATGTTTTATTTATTTCTAGGAGAGAGAGAGAGAGCATGAGCAGGGGAGGGTCAAAGAGAGAGGGAGTCACAGACTGAATCAGGCTCCAGGCTCTGAGCTGGCAGTCAGCACAGAGCCCGATGCGGGGCTCGATCCCACGAACAGCAAGATCATGACCTAAGCGAAAGTCAGACGCTTAACCGACTAAGCCACCCAGGTGCCCCCTAAAGTTTTATTTTTGAGAGAGAGCGAGCACAAGTGGGGGAGGGGCAGAGAGACAGAGACTGAGGATCCAAAGCAGGCTCTGCACTGACAGCAGTGAGCCCACTGTGGGGCTTGAACTCATGAACCATGAGATCATGACCTGAGCTGAAGTCAGACACTCAAGTGACTGAAGCACCCAGGCGCTCCCATCGTCCCTTTTAAAGTAGTGAAGCCAAGAGAGCATCGAACAGGAATCAGGAGACCCACAAGTTCAAAGTCTGCCATAAAAAGCTTACTGAGTCACCTCGGGCAGATCAAGGCCCCTCTGTGGTCTTCAGCATCCCCATGATTATTATATGTAAGCAATGAATCATGGGAATCTATCCCCAAAAATACACTGCATGTTAGCCAACTTGACAATAAATTATATTTAAAAAGTAAACTACAATAAAGAAATGGATTGGACTAGATGGTCCGGCAGCCTCCCTCCAGTCCTGACCTTCAACACTGGGAGGGTTGAGAAGACTGGTTAACATCCGGGCACTGAGGCCACTGCCTGTGGGAGACCCAGCTCCCGCTTGGTGGTCTCAATAGTTGTGAGGTCGTGGGCAAGTCCCGTATTCCAGCCTCCACCTCCTTGTGTGCAGAGTGAGGATAACGAGACTGCTCACCCCTGCCTCACAGGCTGTTGAGTTATTTATTAGACCCTCTCCAACAGTGCTTGGTACAGAATAGGTGGTAAATTCCTGTTGTTGTTGTTGTTGTTGTTGTTGTTGTTTTTAAACAAAAAAATGCTGATCCTACCTGCTACTGAGTTCTTTTTGTTAAACCATGGAGCCAGATCAGATGAAAGCAAGTCCTGTGCATTGCAAACAGGGGTTTCCATTGTTTAACTCCTGCTGCCCCCTCCCACATTCACACCTGCCGCCCCAGATAAGGCACCACTAGAGGTCACACATCTGACAGACAGTTTCCTCGTAAGATCACGTGGATTACAACTTAAACAAACCCTAAGCGCTTAGGACAAAATGAGGCCCCAGGACCATCGATGTACCCTAAATCCCATCATTCAAGATAGCTTGAAACCTGGAGATCTGCGTCCTAAACAAGGCCACTCTGGGCTTCAGTTTCCTAAGGAGGAACTGGGGGGCGGATGAGCTGAATATTTCGTAAGTTCCCTATTATGGGCCAGGCATTGTGATAGGTTTTCCCATAGCTAAATCAGAAAATAGTGTGCATTGACCAAGGGACACAGTACCCTTGCCCTCTCAGCCGGGTCATCGTGTGACGGGAGTGGGGCTGGGCAGTGGAATGGTATGCCCTCTCTATCCCATTCGTTGCAATCTCCTCCCGAACAGGCAGGTGGGGAGGCTGAGAGCTCGCTCTGTGACAGGACAAATTCCCTTCCCCGAACACACAGGCCTCTGGACCACTGCCCAAGAGAACTTTCTGAGATGATAGAAGTATTCAAAATCTATGCCATCCAATACAGTGACCACCAGCCACAGGTGCCTTTTAAGTGCTTGAATTATAGCGAGTGCAATGAAGGAACTGAATTTTAAATTTAATTTAATTTTAATGAATTTAAATTGAAATAGTGCCTGTGGCTAGCATACGGGACAGAGCAGCTTTACAACTATATGGCCTACAGGCATCTTCCTGGAGAGATGAGGAGGTAATTGAGACACTGGGAGACTAAGTGATTTGCTTTAAAGGAATCCAGTGACTCCATGGTAGGGCTGAAACCAGAACCTAAGTTTTTTCTTATTCCAGGACCATTTATTCCTACATCACCACTGCATACTCGGGGGCTTCTGCCATGGTTTTCAATGGTTTCATGACCTCCTACAGGTTAAGTCACCCATGACTGCAATGCTCTTCTGCCCCACATGGCTGTCTGCATCGTAAACTCCCACCCATTCTTCAAGATTCAATGCCAACACCATGACCTTCTCTCCATCCCTAGCGGTTCCCATCTTCCTGCAGCGTTTTGTCTACTTTAGCTTCTAGAGCACTCATAGCGTGATTGGCTATTTATTTGTCTCCTCACTTGACTAGAATTCCCTAGAGGCATTTATTCTCCCGGTCTCCAGAATCTAGCAAAGGAGACTGACCAACAAACATGTGTGGAATCAACATGCTGAATGGACTACAACTGGCAGCCTTCAAATAAAAACACCTTTCTTAGAAGATTAGGAGGTGGAATCAGGATGCCTCGGTTCTTTTTTTTTTTTTTTGAAATTTTTAATTGTTTATTTATTTTTGATAGAGACAGAGTGTAAGTGGGGGAAGGGGCAGAGAGAGAGAGGGAGACACAGAATCTGAAGCACGCTCCAGGCTCTGAGCTGTCAGCAACACCGGATGGGGGCCCGAACTCACAACTGGGAGATCATGACCTAAGCCAAAGCTGGACGCTTAACCCAGGATGCCTGGGCTCTGTTTGTGATGTGCTCAGTTGCTACGCGACTGTGCATAAACATTGCCCCCTCTCTGGGCCTCAGGGGGGCAGACCTGGTCATTTCTAAGACAGGACACAGCCCCCCTCCAAGTGTGAGCAGGGCTGGGGGGTTGCAGGAAGCTGTGGTGGGGGGTGGCTCCAGACTGTGGCAGGAACAGCTGGAAATGAGGGTTGGGGTCACTGAGACTGAGGGCTGCCAGGAGACGCCCCCACATCAGCAGCTGCCACTGGGCCACTGGGCTGGGAGAGTACGTGAGCCCTAGACATGGAGGAGAGAGGGCTGGGACGGCAGCAGAGGTTGGAATCATACAAACCAGAAAGAGGAGAAAGACGGAGCAAAATGCTGATTGTAGGAAATCAGTTTCTGGTCAGCCTCCCATCCATCCATTCATTCATTTCACACATCCACTCAATATTTATTCATTGATTTCCTGAACTCAGGGGCTCTTAGATCATTAGAGAGGTTGAGGCCCAAAGTCCGGAGATGACTGATTCCAGGCCATATGAGGACTTACCAGAAGGTCTGGGACAAACAGCCCAAGTGCCTGCCTTCTTTGTTATGTGAAACCGCTGTGCAACTGACAGCCAGTTGTGCATCTGATAGCCTGCCCAGCACTCCCTCTGCGCTGTCGCCTCCTCGGCAGGGGACCCGGAGAGCCCAGCAGTCCTGCCCAGAACAGCGATCCCTTTCAGGTAACAAAACAGGACGAAGGTGGCCCTCGGCCATCTCAGAACCTCGCTCCTCATGGAGCGAGTTCTGAATTCAATTCTCCAGAGACTCTTTTTTTTCTCTTTCTTTCTTTCTTTCTTTTTTTTCTTTTCTTTTTTTTTTTTTCTGGATGAACTTAGAAAGTCACTCATCTTTCAGAGTCTGTTTCCTCATCCTTAAAATGGAGATAATTATCCCTCACAGGATTATGTGGTGAGGTTTAAATTAGAATATATGTGTGATCACGCATAAAAGGCATTGGCAGCTGTTTTGCAAATAAATAAGACTAGACGTAAAACAGCAGCCCCAGCAGTGGCTGGCCGTCCTGGTACTCACAGCTGGGCCACGGCGTTCTCCAGGTGACCATAAGCAAGTTCACAGGACATTAACACTAGACAAGGTCACAGTATCGTGACACGGCAATACAAAAATATACCACTCCACAATGACGCTTGAATACAGACAAAAACAAGAACACTGTGCAAAATCGTGAAAATGACTGATATCCTCTTTCCTCGGGAACATGAGTGATGAGGCGGTTTCCTTACCAATTATAGATCTAGTTCTCTTCCATTCGTCCCTGTCTTAGATAACAAGACACCTAATCACTGGACTGCCTCCGCCTTCTGCTAGCACCTAAGGAGAGCAAGCTCCTGCTTACAACCAGCTCGTATCAGCACCCTCTGTCACACCGCAAGCTGCCACAAGGGGCGCCATGTCCTTCAAGCAGCAAGTAATAGAACCGCAACTTTGACTACAGGTGTGTTCCTAGTGGTCTTTTGCTATGGGGCATTAACAAAGACTTAAATAATAGGAGTTCAGCCCCCATGATAGAATAGCGGAGGAACACACACACACACACACACACACACACACACACACACACACCATGTATGTATACATATATACATATGCACATACATTGTACATATTTAAACTTTTTGTCTTAAGGATCTTTCCTTCAAATCATACAGTACAAGTGACTTACGACTCTGTTTATAAATGAAATTGGCCATTTGGTCTAACAAGGCTCTGATAAAATGCAGAAAATAACCATCATAGGCAAGGAATGGAGACACAGAAGTTAATACTTATGGAAATTTTACCATGTGCCAGACTTTATCTCATTTAGTCCTTATGGCCATTCTGTGGGGGTAGGTACAGCGTTATTCCCTGCAGTTTCCAGATAGGGAAACTGAGGCTTGCAGAAGCTCAGTAAATGTTTGGCCAGGATTTGAAGCCCATGCTCCCTACACCCAACCAGTGAGCTCCTGTACCCACCGCCCCAAGGGAAAAGGGATGAGCAGAGCTGGGCCCACTTTGTCTCCCTATCTGGCAACCAGAACCCCAAAATCTGGCTTTTCTCAACCCACAGACCCACAGTCAGGCCTAATAATTAGTCATACGTAAAGCATAATCCATTAGGGATCAGAAGCCCTCCATGCATTGTCATTTTATTAGTGGGGAAACTGAGGCCCAGGGAAGTAAGTCCCCTCCCTTACCTGGGCTTCCTCAAGCGGTTGCCATAGGGATGATGCCACGTGTCTCCTCCCAACTCAGTTTTCAGTGACATCCCTTTGGTAGCTTGGTATCATCCGTGGTATGAGTATTTACACCATGGATATTGGCAAATGCTATAAAAACAGGGTTTTTGTTTGTTTTTTACTCCTGCTGAAGAGAGCCAGTGAAAACACTTACCAGCACACCACCAGCTTCCTCCTTTCCATAAAGAAAAGGACTGTAAACATTAGTGGGAATCTCTTTTGGAACAGCTCCCACCAGAGTGCAAGAAAACCAAAACTCGACCTGGCTTGGCTGTGGTTTTATCACTAATATCCATATGCCTTGTCATTTTCCTGTGTCAGAATAATCTGAAGGTCTTGATGAAAATAATTTCTGGACACCACTGGATCAGGCGCTCTGGAGGGAGGGCTCTGGAATCTGCATTTCAACAGGTCTCCTCAGGTGATTTCTTGGTTCCTGAGCTTGAGTACCGCAGCTCTATATCCACATTACCATATCACATGATGCCTCAGGCACAGAGGGCAGAGTTTAGGCCCACAAAAATATGCAGTTCAGTCTCTGTTCTTGAATGTTCACCACGTGCCAGCTGAGGGCGCCTGAACACAGTCATCTTCCGGCTTCTTTCCCCTGTCTCTGAGATGATGTAGAGAGCTCATGGGTGCATTGACCCTGGAATCAGGCAGAATTCCACCATGTGGCCTCCCAGAGACTTCCACATAAGTTTGCCAGGAAGTTCCGGTAGAATCTATTAATACATAGAAAATGTATAGCTAAGTGTTTTAATTATCCAAACAATCTGAAGCAGAAGAATTGAGTTACAGTAATGGATATGGTCTCCACTAGATGTGTGATCTAAGGCAAGTCCCTTAACGTCTCTGGTGTTTATAAGACTCAAATGAAATAACACTGGGAAAACAGACTCATTCATACAGTGCTAGAGATACATTTATCTCCTTAGCTCCCTCACCTTTGCAGGTGCACATGGGACTGTCTCCCTCACCAGCCTGTGAGCACCTCGGAGAGAGCCCTGGGCTTACCCATCTGTGTGTGTCCCACACATAATAAGTATTTCCTAAAGGTCTGGGATTGAATATGAAGGTATGACCTACACATAGTTATAAACACATAAAACCTCCCACACAAAGATGCACATAGATATTGATATGCAATTGTTCATAGAGAGATGACATTGCATTATAAATAGAGTACAGGGCTTGAGGTCAGGAGTTTTAGGTACTACGGTGGGAAACTGTATCTACCACTGCATAATAAATTGTCACAAGTTTAGGGGCTTAAAACAACACATATTTATGATCTCGCAGATCCTATGAAGCAGGAATCCAATGGTAGCTTCGTTGAGCTCTTTGCCTAGAGTCCCACCATCTGCAGTCAAGGAGTTAACCAGGGCTGCCATTTCATCTGAGGCTCAACTGGGGAAGGATCTGTTCCCACACTCACTCATTAACTGAATTCAGTTCCTTGCAGCTGTAACACCGAGAGCTTCATTTTCTTGTTGATTGTCGGTCAGAGGCTGCCCTCAGCAACTAGACTTGCCTGCAGTTCCTTGCCACGTGGGCCTCCCAACATAGGCATCCTACAAGATGACTGCTTGCTTCTTCAAAGCCAACCAGGGACTCAGAGAGAGACTCCAGTGAGATGGCTGCTACAGTTTTTAAGTCATGTGATGATGTAGCCACTTATGGGATAAGGTCTATTCCATCCATTCCATCACTTTTGTTATATCCCATCCATTAGAAGCAAGTCCCAGACCCTGCCCGCACACAAGTGGAAGGAATTACACAAAGCCATGAATTCCAGCAGATCCATCCACCATAGGAGTTCAGATGAACCTCATGAAGGATCTTCCTTGTAAAGCTGGCAGGTGGCAGAAGTCTGAGAAACCTTCTAACCATTTCACGTTCCATAGTAGAGAATGGAAGCCCAGAGGGACTGTCACCAATAAGTATACAGCAGGACCAAGCTGGAATCTAGACCCCCTGACTTCCAATGTCCACTCTACCTCTTCTCTCCCTGCTTATTGTCAGGACTTTGGAGCAACAGACAAAAATTTATGATGCTTTGAAGAGGTAGCTCAGCGGACATTGGAATGTTGTGGAACACCTACAGAATAAATCCAAATTCTTAGCATGACATTCAAGATCTTTGGACTCCCTGGACCAATAAAGCTCTCGTCTCACCTTTACTACCTCCCCCTGGTATGTTCCATCGCAGAGAACTATTTGCAGCTTTTCTACCAGGAATGCCTTTCTCTTTCTATGCCTAGAAGACAAACAAACAAACAGACAGATAATGAATACGTAAACCTAGAGTGCCAGCTCAAATGCCACCTTCTCTGTGAAACCCTCCTTAGTCCTTGTAGACAGAATTAACCACTCCCTCCAATCTGCTCTCTTAGGAGCACCCCTTTGCATAGGTATGAAAGTTGTTTTTGAGTTCTGTTTCTCCTGTGAAACTAGGACCATAAAGCAGGTTCTTAGAAAGATGTGAAACTAATGTGTTTAAAACAAGTCTATCCTGCCAGCTGGCCTTGCCAAGAGACCACCACAGCCTCTCCCGCTGAAATGCCACCAAGGCTAATGAGAGTATTTATTTCAAAATAGGTGTCTCCAGAAGCTCAATGCAAGTCAAGAAAAGGCTGGCTAGATCCCCACCCAATTACATTCTCCTCAGTAGTTCTCTTCGCACTGTGCTCCCGATGGGTAAATCTTCACTGACTGATTGTCATTCAACAGTTGTACTTGATGTATACCAAAGGCCAGGCCTATTCTAAGAGTTCAGGCTACAGAGACAAATAAGACAAGCAAAGGACATGGAAAACCTAAAGCACATGGGCTTTAGAATCAAACGAATTTGATTCATATCAGCTCTATGACCTTAAGCAAGTAATTTAACTTCTCTGACCTTGGTTTCCACAGCTAAACAGGGGATAACATCGTATACTTCTTAAGCATTGCTGTGTGGATGACATGAGAGCATATATATGCCTGGCACAGGGCAGGTGCTGTGCCCCTGAGCCATCTCCAGAGAATCACTAGTTACATGGCAATACTTCTCGTCTGCTATGATGAATGCATCATAGGAAGATGAATGCTGGGAGGAAGGAGTGAATGGAGGTACTCATTCTATTGTGTGGAAAAGGAGGGAGGGGTGCCTGGCTGGCTCAGTGATTCCAGCTCAGGTCATGATCTCACAGTTTGTGAGACTGAGCCTGTGCGGGGCTCTGCGCTGTCAGCACACCACTCGCTTGGGATTCTCCCTCTCCCTCTCTTTCTCTCTGCCCCTCCCCACTCGTGCATGCTCTCTCTCTCTCAAAATAAATAAATAAACTTAAAAAGGGGGAGGAAGAGGCTTCAAACAGGATGAACAGGAATGGCCAGGAGGACATTCCAGGCAGAAGGAACAGCAAGCACAAAACCAGGCTGTCTTGATATCCAGTCTTCATTTTGTCTGCTTCCAGATTAGGCAGCATCTAGATCCTGAAGTTAACAGAGAGGTAAGACAGCATCTTCCTTCTGTGACAGATGACTGACATTTTTATTTCTTTGCCATACCGGAGAAAGTACCTTCTCTCTCAACCAGAAATAAGAAATAATCCAATTTGCAGCTAACTTAATGCTGAGAATTGAAATGCACTGAATTCTAAAGTTCTGATTCTAAGAAGAATGTCGAATGAGTCTTACTCCCAGTGCATGCAATACAATTTTACAATATATTTTATGGACTGTGATGCCATTAAATTGAGACGTATTAGAATCTGTGCGTGATAGAGTTGCTGTGGGAACTCTTAGAACCTTCTAACATTTGACGCCCATAATTGCATGACCTTAATATCTTATACTCCCAGAATCATATAATGTTAGCTTTGGAAGACCCCACTGAAGTTCAACCTCCACATCTTATTGATGGAGAAAGCGGGGCAAAGACATGGAGACTGAAACTGTGTAAGACCATGAGGCAAAATCCTTAATTTCTGACACTGGCTTCTAAATGTCAAGTCCAGTGATCTTTCTCCTATACGATGGTTACCTACTCCTGAGGGACTGTTTAGGGTGGGTCTTTTCAAAGTGTATACTTCAGTGTGTTTCAAAAAGGTTTCATTTCCTTTGGGTCCAAGTGGCTGTTTTTAACAAAGTCAGTACTAAAAGGTTTTATTAAACCGTAGGCTCTTGATCATATCCTTAGTGCTTAGGCCCTGAAGGTGATAGAATCTTAAAGGAGAAAGGGATTTTTGAGGTTTATCTTGTTGTCTCCTCTTCCACCAGAGAAATAGTCTTCTTGGTTTTTTTTTTTTAATTTTTTAAATGTTTATTTTTGAGAGAGACAGACACACACACACACACACACACAGAATCTGAAATAGCCTCCAGGCTCTGAGTTGTCAGCACAGAGCCCGATGTGGGGCTCGAACTCACAGACTGCGAGATCACGACCTGAGCCAAAGTCAGACACTCAACCGACTGAGCCACCCAGGCGCCCAGAGAAACAGCCTTCTTGAGCATTTCCTGTAATATGTTCATTTCTCCTAAGGGAATTTATCCTGTTGTGTGGCCAGGATTCCATGTTTCAGTGAGAAGAACTCCGTTTCTCTGTCTACTCTGCCCAGTAAGAGAAAAAGAAGGAAGGAAAGGGTGCTGAGCACCATTTGGGCACCAGGCACATGTAAGGTGCTTAAATATATCACCTCATTTAGTTCTTAAAACAGCTGTCTAAAGTAGATGTGATCATCCCAATATATGAATGGGGAGAAAAACACTCAGTGAGTTTAAATAATGGGCTCAAGTTCATCCACAGTAAGTGGAAGATTCAAGCCCAAGTGTAATTCTCTGGAATGTCCCGTCTCCCCTGACTTCTGTCCCTCCTCCATAAAGCCTTTCAGCACGCTGCACTACAACATCCTTCCATAATAAACATCCCCTGCTTAAAGGCCTTCGATGGCTCTTCAGTACCCACTCGAGATAAATTGTCCGAGCTCTTTAGCTTAATACCCAAGGCCCTTCACGATCTGGTTTGAGTCAGACTTTGCAGGCTCGCTTCCCTCCACTCTGCCAGCATGTCCAAGGTTTTCCTCGAAGGTGCCTTCCTCCCTGCACGTTCCGCACTCACTACCTGTGTACCCTTCCCTTCTTCCTCTACCTAAAGTTTCACTCAGATGTCCCTTCCTTGGTGAGGCCTTCCAGGCTCTCTGCAAAATTCATTCTTCTCTGCTTTCCCCCAGCACCTCGTACACACCCCATCACACTGTTCTGGGCCTGCAGAGATGGGGACTTTGTGTTCAAAGTCCAACTGGTAACTTTAGCTCATTTATGTCAACTGCAGTCAAGTTTTATTTTTGTTTTTGTTCTTTTTCTAGTTATAACCAGTTAGTAACAGGCTTAAGAGCAACTGAGGACAGAAAGAACCAGTACCTTCAGAAGACTGTGGAACCACAGCACAGAGAAAAGACAGGTTGGATTAATGACCAACTTCCTAACAATAACGGCCTTTATCTGGGAGCCCAGACAGAGCCTGGAATTTCTCAGCCACGCAGCTTCCTGGAACCATTTTTATTTGCTATTTTACAGAAGGAAAAAGAAAAGAAGTGTCTTAATAGACAGTGAGATTGGAGTTCGGCACTCCTCTGCAAAGCCCTGAGACCACCAGAATCTGAGTGGCCAGTCTAGTTGGGGAGCTGTGAGTTACAGAGGGGGCAGTAAGAAGGCTGCCCTTCTGGTCTATGGCCTTGGCCTGTGAGGCCCCCACTGCACACATCGTTCCATAAATATCTCCTGAGAACTACTGTGATCCAGGTATGGTGTGAGGTGCTGGGCAGGTAAGGAAGAATGCAGTCAGTTCCAGCTTTCTGGAGCTTATCATCAGGGAAGACAGGCACAGAAGCCAATGTGCACACAAGGTAGTAAGTATAATGAAGGAAGAATGTGCCCAGGTCACTAGGGGAGCAGGGGGAGGGGCATTTAACCTGTCCTGGGTGAGGGTGGAAGACAAGGGATCAGGGAAAACTGTAGCTGAACTGACGAGCAGGAGTGAAACAGGTGAGGTAGGAGGAGGAGACACAAGAAAGAAGTTCCAGGCATGAGCAGAAGCAGATGCATAAAGTTCCCATAAAGTGTGGAAAAAAACTACAAACATTTTGGTGTTTAATTGCACTTCAAGAGGCTGGGGAGGTAGCCAGGATTATTATGTGTATGTTGCGTGTTAGGCACTGTGCTAAAACACTCACATACAAACACATTATTTCAGATGACTAACTCATGGTGTGACCTTGAGTGAGTGAATGCACTTCCCTGGGCCTCACTAGTAAAATGAAGACACGATGAATTCCAAGGTGCCGTCTAATCTCAGCTCTGACATTATCTGAGGGGACGGCATTCTAATCTATGGTCTGTCTACCATGTTTACAGAAAGGCTGGTCAGGTTAATGGACCATCACGGCCCTGCTTTCCCAAGCTACAGGCAGCGTATTCAGTAGGAAGTGAATTCTGTTGGTCTTGAAAACATTTACCAAAACATCTAATTGTGCAAGATTCAGAAAAGGCACAGATTAAACTTGCTGTCTGGCAGGGTGGACTATGATAAATGCCATAGGGTCAGGTGGTGAGCTGTGGGGAGCTCAGGGTTAGGAGAGATCAGAGCCAACGTGGGAGAATGGACCAAGGCTTCCTGGAGGAGAAGGCATTTGTGATGGGACCGGGGGTGCACAGAATGTCAGGGAAGAGGCTGAGCAGAGGCATTCCAGGCAAGTGAAGCAGCAAGAGCCTGACAAGCCAATCAAAAACAGTACTTCCACATCCCTTCCGCAACCATCCCACTCCCCGCCCCCACCCCGCACGCCCTCTGCTCACCCCACCCTACCCGCTCTCAGGATTCTTAACTGACAGTTGAGACTCTCCAGAACGAAGCCTCATTCTCTCTGTCCAGCTCACTGACCCATGGGGTTGCTCCTATGTGAAACCTCTGCTCCAGCCACACAAAGCTACTTGCCATTTCTTGAATGTTCCCTTAGGTTTCTGTCCCTATCTCACTCTACCTTTGCCAGACAAAGGCCCATTCCCCAATACTCTCTCCTCTGTCTCTACCTTTCCTACCCATCATTCAAGGTCCACCTAAAATACCACCTTCTCTATAAATCTGAAAATCTATAAGTCTATAAAGCCTCCCTGAATCTCGTCCGGACACTGCAACATTTTGACTGCATTTCCCCTCACTTAGCATTTCCTGCTTTGTACTGTAATACCTTTCCTCGTGAAACTGTAAGTTCGGTG